ACCGCAAACATATTTGTATATATTTCAATCTCTTTTGCAACAAGGGTTCGTGTGGAATTTTACACTAATCTTTGAAGTAAGTACTTGTTCTTAGTTAATTTATGAATTACATTTTGTGAAAAAAATCGAACTTTTCATTTTGTGCAAAACTTTCGTAGACCAAAAGAATACACAATACAATATAATATTGTTTCGTACTGCCCCATCGTAACAAATTCTTTATAATATTTGATCTATTGTAACAACATCGATAACAAGTTAACTGAGGCGATGTATAGCTATCACTACTAACTTTACATACGTGACTGTTACCTTTCATATTCTTTTCTCCCCGTGATTAACCTCGATTTCCCGCTGAAATATCCTACTCTAATTCAATGAAAAAGTGGACTCGAACGTCTCTTCGAAGAAATGCTACTTTATTACAGACCTATTCTCTGTTTTTTTTAAAGAAACTCCCGAGGCGTGCTGGTAGGTGCATGTCATGGAGGGGACCCAATCGATGTGTATTTCGTGCGACGTTGTCAGATTGTGAAGCATAGCGTGTGTGTCTTTCTGTCTTTAAGCGCAACACCGTCTCTCTCATTGGCTTGATAAAAAATTAATTTCTTCTTTATTTTATGATACTTTACGCTTTAGCGCGCAGACAGCACATGACTCCTTAAAGGCGCCCATTTTACGGCTTTTTTAGGTTTAACGCGCCTTTAAGCCGTCTTCAAGGCGCCATTAGGCGTCATGTGCTATCTGGGCGCTTATAATTTTTGCATAACATTCTTATTTTCATCAGATAAAAAACTTTTAATATTCGCTGTTTAAATGAACACGAAAAAGGGATTTTATTTGAATGTTATGCTACTAATCTTAAAATAAGATTCCCATTTTTCAATTGTAATAAATAATTCTGTTCTTGACTCGTCATTATTTCAGCTCTTATCATTTGAAGTCTTGAAACATGATTACAGGTGATACGGAATTACGTAAATAATTAATACAAGAAGTGAGGTTTGTTTGAACCCCTGTGGAACATCGTTTAAACAAAAAGTAGTTAACATATTTGAATACTTACCCAGATAGAGCTAAAATAGCCGTAAAATGGACGTCTTCAAGGCGTAATGTGTTATCTGGGTATCATAGTATTAACATATTAATACGCAATATGCTTGAATATTTGAAGTGTAGGATGATTTCACAGTAGCAAATACAAGCAAGATAAGTAATAAGTTGTTACAAAAAACGAACAGAATTCTTTTTCGGGACAACTTAATGCAAACAGTACACAATATTTTGTGTTAATACATTCCGTCAGTGTAAATGACTTTTTGTTCTTTTATTCCTTTTGATTCGTGATATGTAAGAGTGTTTACTATTTTATTAGCATTATCCGTTATTTAGGGATAATGCACGATTCCCAATGCGTGCCAATCGGAACCCCCAAGATTCGGCACGCCGCGTCGCGTCGCACAATGGGACAAAACGAATAAATCCCTGGACATCCAATTTTCTTCTAAACAACTCATCATATCTTTACCAAAATTGGCAAAAGTATTACAAACATAACGAAGCACAATTGACATGACTATGATTCTGATCAGACAAGTTGAACCGTAGTAAAATACGGATTTTGTTATTATAGTTTACGCACTAACATATGGACCCACATGCACGCTGATTTTATTATGTTTTATAGAGTAGATAATTTATGGAAAAACATTTGACGCGTATTATTTTCATTGGTCATCATTCACATTGGAGGGGTGAAAACAGCCCTAAAATTTGGAGATTGAAAACACATACAGTAAAGACTCCATGAAAGTTTGAAACTCGGGACCGCTTCAAACCTTTCACGGTGTACCTTGAATAATTGTTTCAAAACCTCATGATTTATTTTTTGCTCGAAGCCTGAGCCTCGGTAATAAAAACTCTCGGCGAGGGGGGGGGGCAATAAAATATGCACTTGAAAGACTCCCCAGCGATGGGAATGAAGTAGAAACTCTCACGAGGTACTTCCTATCCAACTCTCATAGAGCATTTACTATATTTTGGAATATGTCGGAAACAAGTGGATCTACGAAGACATTTTTTTAACTTGTGTGTTTTTAAATAAGGAATCGAACTATGTAAATAATTTAAAAAATTTTTTTATTAAAATATGTATTAAAAATTTGATTTTCATAAAAGTTTTTTCGTTATGTAATTTAACCTAAGGTTTTCCATAGTGTCAAATATGTGGTAGCTCTAAAAAAAGCTGATATTTTATAGACAAGGAGTATGGTCATTGGCGTAACTAGGTAGGGACCAGAGTGGGCCTGCCCCCACCCCCCTCCCCAGAATACGGTCTAGCCGCCCCGTCCAGAAATTATTGAAATATGTAAAAACAACATTCGTCAATTGGTAAAATCTTATGTTATAAAATATAAATACTTGGGCCGAAATACAATACGCAATGCAACTAAGTATACAAAATACAATAAAATATAGAAAAATAGTTAAAGTATTAAGTAAAATTGTATTACAATTAAGCTGTTTAATTTTTACATTCTACTTAATTAATAACCCTGCAACATCAATGAAAGGGTCAGATGCAATTAAGGGAACTAGCGCTCGAGAATATGAAAAATATTTTTCCAGAAAAAAATCAACGAATTGGTGCTTATAGGATGGTACATTTTAATTGCAGGTAATATACGGCACATAACATACTCTTGATTTTAATAAATCTCAAATTTTTTTTATTTTTAAGAATTATGTTTATATTCTTCTATTCTTAGTTTTACTGTTAAACGAACATGTAAATAATTATTGCAAAATGTGTAACTTTATCTTGTGCAACCTACGTACTTGTTATAAAATACGTACGAGGTCTGATCAAAAAATTTCAGGACTTATTTTTTATAAATTTATTTAAAATTCGTACAAGTTATTCAATATTGTCCCCTTCAAAGTACTCCCCATGGCAAGGTATACATTTTCCCCATCGCTGTTTCCATTGCTGGAAGCATCGGGAAAACGCCTCTTCTGAAATGCTGTTTAGTTCCATCAGCGATTTTTCTTGTATTTCGTCAATCGTGTGAAATCTCTTTCCTCTCAGCGGGTACTTAAGCTTTGGAAACAGGAAAAAGTCCGCAGGGGCCAGATCGGAAGAGTAGGGGGGCTGGGGTAAGACTGTCATGCCGTTTTTTGGTGCAAAAATCATGAATGAGCAGGGCCGAATGAGCAGGTGCATTGTCGTGATGCAAAAGCCACTCCCCGCTTTGCCAGAGTTCAGGTCTTTTTCTCCTCACTGCCTCACGCAAGTTCTCAGGTCTTTTTCTCCTCACTGCCTCTCGCGGTAACGAAAACGATTAATCGTCTCACCTTGCGGAAGAAACTCATGATAGACAACACCCTTCCAGTCAAAGAAAACTGTGAGCATGACATTCACATTCGATCTCACCTGGCGAGCTTTTTTGGGTCTCGGAGAAGATTTTGACGTCCACTGTGATGATTGGGTCTTGGTCTCGACGTCGTACCCGTAAACCCACGTCTCGTCTCCGGTGATGATGCTTTTTAAAAAGTTTTCGTTGTCGTTTGCACATTTTAAGAAATTCTTGACAAACCGCAACTCGATGGTCTTTTTGTTCGTTAGTCATGAGCTTGGAAACAAACTTCGCAGCAACACGGCGCATCTGCAGCTTTTCGGTAAGAATTTCCTGGCATGAACCAAATGAAATTTGGCACTCCTCCGCCATTTCGCGGATGGTTAAACGACGATTTGCTCACACAAGGGTGTTCATTTCGGCGACATGAGCATCGTCCGTCGAGGTTGACGGTCTTCTCGAACGAGGATTGTCTGCAGATGATGTTCAACCTTCCTTAAACCACCCATACCACTCATAACAGCGTGAACGACTCAAACATGTATCCCCGAAAGCCGGCCGTAACATTTGAAAAGTTTCCGTGAATTTTCTTTTTTCAATTTCACACAAATGCGTTGTTCTTCTTTTTCATTCATCATAAAATCACTGAACGCAAATATCTTGTTTCACTGAAACAGCTGTAGATTTGCAACCAAGAAGGTTATCGAAATTTTGCAAACTCGGTCGTCCTCAGGAAGGTTAGGGCTAAACATTTAAAACAATTGCACCACGCTCTGACCTTTCATTGGCGCGCAATTTAAACAGTCCTGGAATTTTTTGATCAGACCTCGTACAAGTGCCTGATGGGGAGCGTTATGGTCGAAAGTCAGGGTACCTGTTCCCCACCCCCCAAAAAAAATTCTAGTTACGCCAATGAGCATGGTGTATTTAAAGGATATTCAGATCTATTAACTATCTAAAGATGTTTCTAAGGTAGCATATATGAAAACGTCCTCTCTCCATTAATTTAAACACGAATTATTTACGAAGTTGCAGGTGGTCGCAGAAATAGTTTACACTTTCTTGAAGTAGGGTCCTTGAGGATTAATGTGACAAAAGATTTTATAACATTTCTATAAAAGGTGAATTTCTAAAATTTATCCCCGAAGTCTAAATTTCTTAATGACAATAAGTGGTCTAATATCTGTACAATAGTACGGTATAAATAAAATTTTTTTCGGATTTAAATGTTAGATATTTTAATCTCAGAATAGGTGCCTTAGAAAGTTTACATGCATGTCATTAAACAATCAGGTTTGAAACGACTTAAAAAAATGTTTTCTTTGCGATTCCTTGTGCCTTTATGTTATGACATAACATATCCTACGGGATAGCATTAAGATAGTTAAAAAAACAAAAATCCGTAACTAAAATTTTCCCATTGTCCCATTGTGGACCGTCCAGTTATTATAGAAACGACGAAGGTTGGAACACCTGAAAGAGATTAGGGATATATGTACGATAAAGACAGAAGCTAAGTAACGATACAAATGGAGGCAATTGTGAGTCATTGGTCAGGACGTTGGGATAAATACAAACGCCGTGGACAATAGCAGACATGTCTCGAACGTGGCAACACCGTAAACCAGCGACTGTGTACCTTAGGAGTTATCTTTTGAAAAGCAGGGAACAATTAAAAGTTTTTATTATTGGTGGAACTGACTAATTGGCCGTGTACACTGCGCAGGCACGAACAAATTAAACTCTGTATCCTCTGACTTGGATCTAAAATATCTCGAATACATTCGTAGCTACTACCATAATAAAATTTCGCCATCGCTTTTAAAAAGTCCATCCTGATATTCTAAAGCGAAGCTGCCGTCGTGATTCTGTTCTGTGCGTGATCCATGTCCAATTACATTTGTGTACTTTCTTCTTCTGGCTCAACTTTTTCCAAAAAGCCCATCAAACCCAGTTATTCCTCTGCTTCGAAACACCTTCCTCAGGGAGGTATTGTTATGTTTACGGCCGAGAAGTCCCTATTGAGAGAATTCAATAGTTCCTCGTTTTCCTTGCGCACTGAAAACAAAAATTTTTTTATTATATGTTAGCTACTTTCATATATTTTTAAATTATAAATGTACTTTGTGTAATCTATATTCTGAGCACCCTAAAATGGGTTACTATAAAAGAATACAAGTTCTTTATGTTATGACTTCGTCTTAGAAAAACACTAATTTAGAAAACTTAGTGAATAAACATGTATCTTCATTTCTGTTCATTTGAAAGGACGGATCGAGATTTATTTCGCATTTGCTACCTAGCAATAATGGCATGCAATGATTTTTGTATAGGCTATTCAAAAACTTGCGCTATGACTAAAAAAATTTAGATTCTACATGCAAAAAATATGATAAAAATGTTGAAAAGAAATAATATTGTATGGTGTTTTCTTTTGAAACAAACAGGATTTTATAATTTGTTAAATAGTAGCTTTGTTTGTTCTTGGATACTATGTCTGTCTATTACTTATCATTTCTATATATACTAGTTCTCTTTAGATATTGTTAAGTATATATACAGGGTGTCCCAAAAATGTCCTCCGACCCGGAAATGTGGCACTCGGGAGGTGAATTGGAACAACTTTTTCCTTAGCAAAAATTTAAACTGAGGTTTCGTTTACGAGATATTAACGAAAAACCGCGACCAATCAGAGCGCGAGTTTGCCAGCCGAGTTCCCGCGCTAGCGGTGGCTACGCGCTACGCTTGTACCACGATGCTCCGAACAAGTAGAAAACAGACATCACGTGCATCGGCTTAAAAATGTCCGAAATGAAGAGGACCATCAACGTATCCCTTGCTTCGAGTTGGAAAGTACAGTGTACATTGTCTATCTCGAGGAGCAGGGAAAAAAATTTACCGACACGTGTCAGTTGACGCTGCAAGGCCCTGGACGACCACCCTTGTAGAGGCC